TGTATATATGTATATATGAATATATGTATATATACATATATATATATATATGTATATATATATATATTTATGTATATATATATATATGTGTATATATGTATAGTATATATGTATACATGTATACATGTATACATGTATATATGTATATGTATATGTATATACGTATATATGTATATAAATATGTATGTATGTATGTATGTATGTATGTATGTATGTAAGTATGTCTGTCTGTATGTATGTATGTATGTATGTATGTATGTATACATGTATGTATGTATGTATGTATGTATGTATGTATGTATGTATGTATGTATACATGTATGTATGTATGTATACATGTATATATGTATGTATATATGTATATATGTATATGTATATATGTGTGTATGTATGTATGTATGTATGTATGTATGTATGTATGTATGTATGTATGTATGTATGTATGTATGTGCGTGTATGGGTTGAACACGATGCCTCGGGCATAAGGCATATCATCCACACCGACACCATGCGCTTAGGCAAGGTCGAGAGTCATGCGTCGGACGAGAGCTTCGCCGTCATGCAGAAGGAGGCAAAAGGCTCTTACTGTCACGAGCGGGAGGGCATGAAACATACCACCGGCTTCCACACCGACACCATGCGCTTCGGCAATTTCGAAGATGCTGCGTCGGACAAGAACTCTTCGGAGGAAGACCACACCATGATGAACAATGTTTCAACGGAGTTGAGGCTGCACGTGACACTTTGCTTGCGTGTGGAAGGTATATCTTCGTTGAGTGATCCAATCAGTTTTCTGTGGACGTTGAGCAGACAAGGCTGCACAACGTATGTTGATTGCTGCCCTGCGTCGTGCATCGTGGCCTAAGGCTACGGGCTGTAAGTAAGCACAGCTTTTGTGTTTGCTGTGAGGGGTATACAGCTTGCAGTTTGCCCCTCTTGCCCCATGTGGAATAGGCTCAAGCTGAGGCCATTCTGTGTATGCGCAGCTTGGCCATGAGTGTGCGGTTTATGATTGTGTTGAGTATACTTGTGCTTGCTGTTATAGAAGCAGCGATAGCACGGTCGCTTGGTTTTCCTGAAGGCTTTCAAACTTAACGGATTGGGACTGCCCTTTATAGTTTCGGTTGAGTTGGGGACGGCTTTTGCCTGTTAAGGTGCCGGGTCACTCCCCACTTCGTTTTCATCCAGCAGCGATACTTGTGCTAAAGCTGGGTTTTGCAGATTTCTGCGCCAGGATTGAGAGGCGCGAACTACACAGGCGCCTTCCTTCCTGAGTGCATACTGCCAAACGTTTGCATATTTAATTAGTGCCGCGTACTACCTCTGAATGCCTCGAAATGGAATGTATGTATGTATGTATGTATGTATGTATGCATGTATATGTATATGGGTAATGTTATATCCCCCCCCTGGATTTCCTCGCTGTCTCGAAAAACCCCTCGACCAGTTCACCATTTCACCAATTAGCTGGGCCCGAACCCATAAACTATAAACCAGTTCACCATGTCACCAGTTAGTTTGGCCCGAACCCATAAACCATTTCACCATTTCACCAATTAGTTTGGCCCCAACCCAAACCATTTCACCATTCATTTCCCCCCATATGGCCAGGCCAGTTCACCATCTCACCATTCACTCCCCCCCATATGGCCAGACCTCCTTACTTTCATAAAATGGTGAAATGGTTTCTGGGATTAGGGCCAAAGCAATTGGTGAAATTGTGTTTATGGGTTAGGGCCAAACCACTTGGTGAAATGGTGAAATGGTTTATGGGTTCGGGCCCAGCTAATTTGTGAAATGGTTTATGGGTTAGGGCCAAACCAATTGGTGAAATGGTGAGCTGGCCCAACTCATTGGTGAAATGGTGAAATGGTTTATGGGTTAGGGCGAAATCAATTGGTGAAATGGTTCATGGGTTAGACATATAGGGCCAAATTACTGGGTGAAATGGTTTCGGGTGCGCAACCACCACATATGGTTAGTCCTCCGCACCTCACAAGGTCGAGGCAATTGGTGAAATGGTTCATGGGTTAGACATGGGGCCAAATTACTGGGTGAAATGGTTTCGGGTGCGCAACCGTCTGCCGGTGTGTATGTGTCCATCCTCCCAAAACCGTTCTGTGACCAAAACTGTTTAGCCCACACTGCTCGTTCCGGTACATATCAATCTATTCAGAATGCTGACCAGGTCAAACCCGTACAACGTCGTGAATTCTACAGAAAACTCGTCGAAACCAGAGTTGCAATGTGCTAAAATCCATACCTTGCAGCCGTCGGTACATTTTCGTAGTTCAAGCCTGTGTGACTGCTTGACTGCTTTCTAAACTCCAAACGCTAAATTCTTGTAGTTCCAATTTACTAGCAAATGCGGCTTTAGTCCACAGTCTGATTCAGACATGCCCCGCGGGCGAACTAGGTTTTTCAATTAAGAGTTTCAACATTTGTAATGCTTCAATCATGTTGGATGCGTCGTTTTCGCTCGGCCGTATTTTCTCGAGGATTCGTGTGAGGCGAGCGTCCCGAAAACATTGTGTTTGCTATTTGCTACTACATGGACCAATATTTTAAAGGATTCGGGGTGCGCCGTGAATCCCGCAGGTTAAGGGGGGGAAGTCGTGGTCCCGAAACGCGCCAGTACTACTTTCGGGGAATCCTTCCAGATTCTAGTTGCGCTGCCGGATCCGCGAAGAAAGCAGTACTTGCTTCCGAAATGTCGGGAAACCTTTTGGTCTTGTCCTAGTGGTTTGCTGGTGTTCCTTGCTGGCTTCTTGGTGGTCATTAGAGTCTCCTGGTGGTTTACTGGTGGTCTTCTAACGGTCTTGTGGTTCTCGCTGGGCGGTCTCCTGGGGTCTCCTGCCATTCTCTTGGTGGTGTCCTGGTGGTCTGCTGCGTTTCCTGGGGTCGTGGTGGTCTCTTGTTGGTGTATGGTGGTCTCATGGTTGTCTCTTAAAGGTCTCTGGTCGTTGTTGTCGTGGTCGTCCTGGTCGCCGTGCTGGTCGTGGGTGGTCTTCTGATGCGCGGTCTCCTGGTGACCTTTTGGTGATCTTCTGGTCGTTGCCGGCGATCATGGTAGGGTTTTGGCGATTTCCTGGTGGTCTCTTGGTGCTCGATTCTGGTCGTCGTGGTCATCCTGGTCTGGGCGGTCTTCTGATGATCTTTTGGCGTTCCCTGGATGGTGCCCTGCACGCAACGGTCTCCAGGTGCTCGTGGTAGTCTCTCTCTTCTCTCTTGGTTGTCTCCTGATGGTCTATTAGCGGTCGTTTGGTGGTCTGGTGGTCTCCTGGTCGTTGTCGTCCTGATCGGTGTGCTCATCGAGGGTTGTCTTCTGATGTGATCTCCTAGTGTTCTCTGGATGGTGTCCTGCAGGTCTCTTGGCGTCTCAGTGGTCTCCTGGTGGTTTCTTGGTTCCTCCCAAACGAGGCGGAAATGCTGGAAAAAAACACAGATCGCCAATAGGTACGATCTGCATGTATGTGGGCCTGTTCGCATGTGACGGTAACGAACCATTGGCAATGTGGGTCATGATTCTGACGAACCAAAGGCATTTCTCGCAAAACACAAGGGCGACTAGTTGCGACCTGTATTTTCCAGAGCCATG